TATAAGGCTTTCGTACCGTTTGAAATGATTATCGGAGAGTTCACTTCTCAATGGGAATAATTCCGCTTCTTTGGGAGCAGAACCATTCAGCTGATGAGTTTGTAACTGCAAAAAATACCAGTTCCATATTTCACCATTGCTTTTGTCCCTCTCTGTTCCAATGGCACATAAGGTTTCGAGCCTGAGTTGGGAAGTTTCGGTACAGATGGTTTTGCTTTTAAAGAGTGTGGCTGCTAGTCTCAAGGTCAACCTGCCCTCTTTGCTTGGATTGCCACCCTGCTGGGCAAGGATTAGGAATGTGTTGGCCAAGAGTCGAGCCGAAGGCCACTTTTGGCGTGGTTTGTGAACATTTTACCACCGACACCCCCACTAAAAGTTACGACCGTTCAATCCTCTAAATTCTCCCACAAACAAGAAAATTTTTCAAGTATTGATTTGTAGGGATTTGTTTGATTGGTTACAGGATTTCATCATGAGCTGACATTGGTTAGAGAACCATTGAAAAACCTGGGAGTACTGGACAGCTGTTTCGTCCTAGTTTGAGACTCTTCATCAGTACGCGCCATCCGGGGTTCAAACCCAGGACCTTCTGGTTACAAGGCGAGCTCGTATACCATTAAGCCACTGGGACCCGATCCAGTGGTCCATGAATTCTAACTTCTGCCAATTCACAATACAGCGTAACCGCTAGCCAATGTCTTCGGCGAGTATTTGTCCTCACACCCGACCGGCTGCACCCTACTGGTCACGACTTCTCACTGGAATCCCAGGTAACTACTTACCTGAATAGGGCCATTCGCCAGTGAGCATCTCATCGATATTCAGGTATTGGTTTGTAGGCATTTGGTTGACTGGTTACAGGATTTCATCATGAGCTGACATTATTTAGAGAACCACTGGAACCATTTTTACCGTGTGATATACTTTTTTGTGGTTCATGTTAGTACTGAATAAAACGGGTTCTTCCAGTATTTATATGATGATAATTATTATTTATTTTTGTTTCCAATGACATAATTATGAATGAATAATTCATCACTACATTGAGATTCTATGACCCACAGATAAACTTATCATTGCTTAACTAGACTATAATTATTATCTGTCATCCTACCGATTAGGAGAAAATACTAAAATGACATGCTTATGAATTAAATATTACTCACCGATAAGAAAATACCTCCATAATCATCGTGTTGTGAACATCGTTAAAAAATTACAATGTTTATGTTATTAACTGATAAGTTAAGCTTATGTACTGAGATCATTAATTATCTTTTCAGTCTAGAATGAATTCACTACCCGCATTAATTAATCTTAAATGTATTGTGGTTGACAGTCCAACCGAAGTTGCTTGTTTGTGCACTCACTCCATTGTTTATACCAGACTGCTGCTGCTGAGCACAGTAATATTTTATCGACTCTACAGTGCCAGACGCGTCGGTGGCACAGCGGTAGAATGCCCGCCAACCACGCATGTGGTCCGGCGTTCGATCCCTGGGCGACGCTAAGCCAGTAATAAGACTGGTAAAGAGGGAAGGTTGGGCATGAAGCTGGCAACCACATCCCGTAAAAATAAACACGACTGCTACAGAAACTCCAAATCTCTAGCCTGAAGCCCTATGTTCCTCTGGGAACGTAAAGAAATAAGAAAAAACAGTACCAGATCAAAAGCATTTGAACATTTCGCTAAGGATACAGAATTAAATATTTTTCCCCCAACGAACCTCTCTTCTTTGTGCTCATAAAATCTATTTTTTCCCTTAGCGAATAAATAATTTTCAACGTAAGACGACAGATGTTCAGTTAAATCTAATTAATCTTAAACCTAGTGAAGTGAGCTACATAGACATAAAATAATAACAGCTTCTTCTTTGTAACGTAGAATGCATGCATACTCATTTCCCTCTCCTTTTACTTTCTTTTCCTTGATATTATCACTTATTTTCAACTCAGACAGGATGAAAACACTTTGAGACAGATTTACTTTGCAAAAACATAAAATTTTCATGATTCATAAAAGATTGTAGACATAGGCAAGAGATTGAAGACAATACAAAATAACTTATTCAAAGGTAGTAATTATAATCGAAACAAACGAGAAATATTCACACCCATTCTTCTTATCCTTCTTCTTCTTATAATTATTATTATAGGATGACTGACTACTCAAGTGTTTAATTTAAATCTGTCACTAATCACGAGAATGAGAAGAGTGATAAAAGAAAGACGAGTTATATTTCACCAAAGAAAGAAACTAAATATCATCAAGTTTATTCTCATATTACATACTACATACAATTAGGTAATCAGCCTTTATTATTATACACAATTGTAACAAAGTGTTTAATATAAATACATCTGTCGAATTACAAAAGACTTCTTAAGAAACGAATAAGACGATATCTGGGCATCACTAATTGGATAAACGTGGCTTTGTCTCTGTTTTAGTTTTGAGAAAAAAAGAGAGATTGTATTTCCTCCGAGTTTGTCTGATTCTTTCTATTAAAAAAATAAGAATCAGAACACAGCATGAGGACAAGAGAAGTGTTATGTCATCTATAGAAATGTTTAAAGTGTGGAGAACGAAGAATTAAGGGATGATATTGTAGAATGGATTATATAAAACATCCTATCTTTAGACCTTTAGTCTAGTCGAATTACTTTTGGCTTCAATTTCACTGAGTTGTATTCAGTCTTGTCTCGCCTAAGTGAATTCATTAATTCTAAATAAGTGTTGTTTTTATTCCCTCGAGTCCTGAGTGGAGCACAGGTCTTGAAGCTTTGACATTTCAGTAGTGGGGGTGTTTCTATAAGGGGTAAGATTGCCAGCCACATGCCTGACCTTTCACCTCTTGTGGCTAGCAAATAAGTTGAGGTTTGGGAGTGCTCTGGCAGGCAGTCGAACTTGGACCATTTGATGTGTCGTTGGTGAGCAATCTACCAGTGAGCCACCAGGACTCAGTTTCATATATGTACACAAAATTGAGTTGTTTGTGATGTGGTTGTAAAGAACAAGTGACGTTCATAGGAAGCTGTATTGTAGAGTATGGCTTTTATCCTGCTCTCTACTATTCTTATCATGGTAAAATGATGTAGTGTCACTAATTACCTTGGACTTTGAGTCAATAGACAATATACAAAAACAGTATCAGTCACATAAAGTATCTTTTAATAAATTTACTTGGTTTGTGCAATGTTTCCTGTGTCACTTCTATAAATATATATTTGACTGTTTTTGTGTAGTTGTGTTCTCTGAGCTCGTGGGTTAAGTAACTGAGATGCTTTCACTATCTTAGTAGACATCATTCTCAGCAGAAACTTTAAAGTGAAGTACAGATTCCAGTGTGAATCAGGAATCACTACAAAGTTATTTTGGTTTTATTTTGCTACTGACCCACTTCTTATAAAAACTTAAACTGTGAATATGATTTTCTTGCTCATTGGTATTCGGACTCTAGTTGAACGTTCTAAAGTTCCAGTGAGAAGTTATGATAATCAGCAGGTTGTAGGAAATGTGTACTCATCACATCATCTGCCAGCAGCACTATTTATGAGGCATCATATTCCAATCCAGGGACTACTCGGCTGATTCTTTGAAAGGTCTAGGTCCGGTTCCTTCGTAGTGATATATGAGAATAGTTTCAAACCAGAAGAAACAGAAACTTTTCTCCATTACCTTCTCGATACGGCCTTGGATAGGAAAAGTTCCGCGTCACTGAATAACAGGTAATTCGCAGAATTGGCAGAAGTTAGGATCGATAGACCACTGAATTCTATTCCAGTGGATGAATGATCTACAAGCCCATCTCGTAACCTGAAGGTCTTGGGTTCAATGCCTAGTGGGAGCATAGCCGTACGTGCTTCTGAAGAGTCTTGAACAAGAACGAAGTAGCTATCTAGTACTCTTTGTTGGCTATCAATGTTTCTCTAACTGATATTGATTTGCAACCAATCTTGAGATCAAAAAACATTTAAGCATTAGATTTAATTATTTTTGAAGGAAGGCTTTCTTAAAGTTAAATTTTGATTTCCTAAACAGCACCTTACAAGTCTATTAAGTCATAGTAAACAGAATAATTATCTAGATCTTGATGTGGTTGTGTTCTCTGAGCTGGAGATTTAATTTGCGAAGCTTTTATTGCCCCCATCACTAGGTAACATCTTCAGCGCCTACTTCTGTTTGTTGAAGTGAGCTTTCAGATTTCTCCACGAGTTTACTAGTCATCTCTCCTAGGGATCTTGAAGGTGATTGGTTGTTTTTGTGTGTTTTCGCACCCTCTAGGCTATTTCTGTTGGAAATGATTGTTTCCTTGACTCGAACTTTGACCCTTTATGCATGAGGTTTCCTTCTTATCGGTTGGTAAATATTGTCTATGTCAATATGTCTATTGACTGATGATTCACTGGAATACCAGGCAGCCTTCTGAAAATTCTCTAGCATTCTTGGTGTTTCTTATGTCTAATATTCGAACGTTGTCCCAGTCGAATTGATTTCCGTGGTTGTCTGTGTGTAGTGATATGAGCGAGGAAGTGGATGTCATGTCTTTTGACGGCTAGCTTATGCTCATGGATACGAAGACGAAGGGGACGTTTGCTCTGGCCAATGTAGTGATTTTCGCAGTTGTTACAGTTTATTTTGTAGATGATGTTGGTTTTATCTTCTTTCGTTGTTGAGTCTTTTGGTTGACATAGAACTGAGTAAAGTGATTTTGTTGGTTTGTATGCGATGTCAATTTCTAAAGCTTCGCAAATTAACTATCCAACTCAGAGAACACAACCACATCAAAATCATCCACCTGAGCTAGAAACCTTCTCCGTCTTATCTAGATCAAAATGTAATCATATAATTCTTATATAAATTACTCAGTAATGACTTTATTGTTATACAGTTATACAAATTAAATGTACTTTCGTGACAAGCATTCATTAAAGTGATTAATTTTTACTTTGCAGACATTTCAGTTAAGACTATTTCCATTTTTCTCTACCTTATTCAGGTATTGAAACTTTTCAATTTCAATGAAAAATTCCATGTAACAATTGGATTCATAAATTCCTGGATTAAAATCAGTCTAAATTTTAAAAAAATGTCTGCGCCTATAAAATTCTACCTATTGATGATTATTACTATTCATCTCAACACTGGATTAACTATTGATTCAAATGATTTGAATTACGCTGCTAACTTTACAAAACCAAAAATAATCCATTCACCTTCAGATGTATTTTCAACAGACGGAGTGCTAGAATTCACCTGTCAAGCCAGTGGATATCCAAAACCTCAAGTAGTATGGTATGATGCAGATACAGGACAGCAAGTTATTGATCGTGTACCAAGTAGTGGAACAACCTCGGGTATACATGTTAACCAACATTATGGTAAGCTTTTAATCTCAAGTCCTGAAAGAGGTAAATTATATTCCTTCTACTGTAATGCATCGAATTCAGCTGGATGGGTGATTAGTCAACCACCAGTTCGAGGCGGATCTGCATACATCAGCTCACAATTCCAACAAATACCTGTAGACAAAACTGTTCATGAAGGTGATCGGGTTATAATGGAGTGTTCTCCTCCACTGGGTATACCTGAAGTAAAAGTCTATTGGTTAAAGAATAAACACTTACTTGCTGCTCAAAGTGGTGTACAGCCTAAAAATAACTACTCTGTGATAACTGATACGAATTCAAACATTGAAATATCACCTGATGGAAGCTTGCGGATTTCTTCTGTTACAATTCGTGATTCAGGGACATACACTTGTGTGGCATCTAATCTAGCCGGTGAACAAGTCTCTCCTTCCGCTTACCTGTTGGTTAAGACTAGAACACGTTTTCTTGAAACTCCAGTTGATGTAAGAGTTAAGAAAGGACGTGATGTAAAGTTGAGATGCAGAGTTGAAGGAAATCAGGTAGTCAAATGGAAAAGAGGTCATGGAGAAGATCCAATAGATCCGAATAGAGCTGAATTGACAGAAAGTTATCTGCTTATTAAGAATATCCAAGTTTCAGATGCTGGTACGTATATTTGCACAGCGCCTGGTGGTGTTGAAGCTGATGCTATAGTAACAGTCGATTCACCGCCTGCATTCTCCGTTACTCCAGATGACTTAACTGTTAACGAAGGAGAGATAGCTGTTTTTCATTGTGTTGCTACAGGCCATCCAATGCCAGCAATTTACTGGGAGCTTCCAGATAAAACTCCTATCTTTCCTGGTGATCAAACAGTACACGGATTTCATAATGGTAAGCATTACCTAACCCCTGATGGAACGTTAGAAGTCAGAGATGTTAAACAAAGCGATTCTGGAAAGTATCAGTGCACTGCTCACTCATCCATTGATACAATCCATACTAGTGCAGTACTTCATGTGACCGGTTCAGTTAAGAAAAAGTCGGGTCAATCGAAAAACACATATTCTTCTCCATCTGAAAGCCAAGAAAAGCATCAATCTTTGTCAAACTTTTATTGGTTAGCACCTATAATTGGCCTTCCACCTGCAAATCAAACTCGAAGAGTTGGTGATATAGTCACTTTGCATTGTGAATTAGGGATGGCAAAAGATTTCCCAGGGTCATTACCGCCAACTTCTCATTATTCTGAATTATCTGACTGGTCTATCGGATGGCATAGATCTACTAAAGATGGGTCAGTAAAGGAGTACATGGATTCTTCTAGTTTTTCTAATGATCGACGTTACACGCTGCTTCCTGGAGGTAGTCTGCAGATTATAGATGTGCAAGAAGAAGACTCCGGAAACTACACATGTTTCGCCAGAGCAGTTATTAAACCATACACGGACGATCATTTAACATCTTTCACTCTGCAGTCTAACTGGACATCACACTTGAATATTGTTCCCTTAGGAGCAATGGTTAGTAATTCCATAGGCAGTGAAAACCCTCTTCCCCAACCACGAAATCTGAGAGCTACTAATGTCACGTCATCAACTGTCATACTTGTCTGGGAGCCATCATTCCCACCAATTCATTCGCAAGAATTCAGTAAAGGATATTCTCCTCAGATTACATACTGGGTGGAACTCTACAGACCTGATCGACCAGCAGATGGATGGGTAGTGGTTGAACAAAATTGGCACGCACATACTGTCCAGCTTGGGGGCTTGCAATCGGATACCGCCTATTATTTTCTCATTCGGCCTAGATGGGACCAGGGGAGAGTTGGTTGGGCAAGTGCTCCTCTAGGGCCGATTTTGACATTGAAGGAAGAAACGATGGTGCCAGAATCAGGGGAATTATCAGACGCGGAATATTTTCAGTCAGTTAAAGATATCAATTTACTGGGACTACATTTATATCCTCTTTCAACCAAAAGAGTAAGAGTTAGTTGGTCAATAACAGAAATTCCGCAAGTTCTGTCGAAAGTGACCGGTTACTCTATTTATTCCAAAGAAGTTCCGTTAATGCAGTGTATTTCAACGAAGTTCGACCCTACTTATTCGGAAACAGTTGAAGTTGCAGCAAGAAGTAAAGATGATATGTACTGTAGCCTACAACCTAACAGTCCAACTGATTCATATTCACTTTATAAAAAGTTGGAGAATATGCAAAACCTCTATACAAATCAGAATTCAACATCAAATTCTTGGACAGTGAATGATATCAAGGCTCGTTATCCTAAAAATGAGAAGTACAGCGAAATTCAACATCCTGTTACATATCAAGAATCAGGTCTTTTACGTGATCTTGAAGCCTTTCGGTGTTATTCAGTCAAGGTAAAAGCGTATTCATTGAGTTCAATGATGGGGAAAATCGAGAGTAGAGAGAGTAATTCTGTTACAGTTTTAACTTATGAAAGTTTCCCTAGCTCACCGCCGGAAAGAATATTCGCTGTATGGTTATCTAATACAACAATAGAATTATCATGGGAACCACCACATGTAAATAGCTGGAATGGTCTGTTGACTGGCTACATAATTTATGTATATGACGAAGATGCAAGCAATCATAAAAGCTTTAATCTGTCTTACACAGAACAAAAAACCTTAATCAAAGGACTAACTGGTAAGACGACATATTTTCTACAAATGGCAGCAGTCACTTGCAAGGGAATCGGCGTGCGAAGTGTACCCATTCAACTGAGACCTAATTTACGCAAGAAAGGTTTAGGAGTTGGCTGGGGTTTTGATTTAAAAACCGGTAAACTATTGCAATTCATGAACCTTGATCAAAAAAATGACAACAAATCAGATGATTTTATTGGTCGACCCTGGTTTATCGTAACAATTATATGCAGCCTACTAGTATGGTGTGCTACAGTCGCCCTGATAACATTTTGCTGTAGACATCAACGCTACAGATTTCGTAAATCATCGGGTAATGTTCTTGTAACGCCTAATTCTCAATGTGGTCTAGTAACAGACAATTCTAACAATATTTTCTCAAGTACTAACAATCCAGGAACTGAAAATAAAAGTTCCAAGAATTCACATCCATGTAAAAAAGATCAGGTTCAAATGGAACCTTTATTAAGACCAGAATCACCAACTACTGAACACGATAATAGTTTTGAGTCTATGGAAACAGGGAAATACCCTGGATGGCGACCGTATCCTCCAAATACTCAAAATCAAAGTCATTATAGCATCAATACTACTAATAATCGTGACAGTGGATCACGTGATCCTAAGTTAGACCCATGTAATCCGAGTATGCTGGCATTATCCGTTTCCCCATGTACTTCAAATGGAGCAGATCACATAGGATTATATGCAACAGCTGAAAATTTAACACATAATACAATAAATACAATGAATAGTAATCCGAATATTCAATCTAATCGAATGCAAACAAGCCATTTTATTTTTCAAGGAGCAACTCCACTTCTTCATGTTCCTAATGGAGGTAATTCGCGTTCATCCTATTTAAACTATCAGCATCATTTAATTCCACAGTCTCAAATAAATGCCACTTTACCTAATACATATAACAATTTTGAGCAATCATTTTTACCTGCAGTACGGTTAGGCTCATCTGGATTGCCTTTAGTCGCACCAGTAGCTCAAATCGACAGTCTGAAATACAACAACAACAACAACGCCCACACTACCAGCAGTAACAACAACATCAATAATAATAATAACAGTGAACCAATGTTATCTTCAAATCGTATCAGTGGTTTCAATGGGCCATCGCTGACAGTAGCACCGTATGCAACTGCTTCGATTATCCAAAATGCAGTAAATAATGTGAATAATGCACATGCAAAGAAAAGTTGTACTTCACCGATATTTTATACATCAAACAATGTTGTATTTAGTGAAAATGCTAAGTCATCAAGTGAATTCACTTATGAATTAGAAGATGGTATAACTCCGCCATCTATGACTACATGTAATACAACAAATCAAAATACTGACACTTCTAGATATAATCTACAAACACAACATTTACAGACTCCACAAATGTTGTTGTACACAGACTATGCAAATGGATGTTCTCGTAGTAATAACATTGTTGCTGAAGAGAATGACGATATGAACTCGGAATTTTCATCGTCTGGTCATAGAGAACATGGTGAAGTTTTACAAAGACATGATTTTAGAAATAAATCAAGCTCTGCAACATCTAGTAGTATTAATAATGACGACGATAGATCCTACAGATGGAATAAGACAACAAGTGATACTCTTTCATCTGATTTTATTGCTGTTAGTAAGTTACCTACAACCGTGACAATAGCAACAACAACACCAACAAGTTCAAACAATTCACAGCATGTGAAACCAAATAACTCAAAGGCAATTACAACGCAATATCAACAGCATCAAAGTTCGCTTACACCTAAAAGTGAAACAGCTGAAACAGCTAATATGTATCCTTATGAAAATAGGTGTATGATTCCTCCACCTCCGGAATCACCTCCTCCACCATCACCTAAGTACAGCCATGATGAACAGCATACTAGTAACAATAACAACAACTATAACTGTTCAACAATAGAAAACGGTGAACATTATGAACTGACATCAGAGTTCTCTTCGTCCTCATCATCATCTCACTCACCCTATCCACCTATTCTAACATCTGGCGAAACAAAACACTCGACGCCTAAGTACACAATAGCGAAAACAAAACACCAAGAACCTGAGCAAAACACCAAATTTGTTAATAGTACTACTACTACTACTTATAATAATAATAATATCAGTAGCAATATGAAAAATTTACATGTCAACAATAATTCTCATACACACGATCAACATGCCTATTATTCGAAATTCACTAGCAGTGAGGCAGAAGACGAAGAAGTCGAGACTGAAAGTAATCATCTTAAAATTACGCAGCACGAAGAAACAATGCCAAACTCGAAGAATAGCTTTCACAAATCGAAACAGCGCTTCAACTCATCTAACCATCAACATTATTCAGTAAATCCACCAATATGTACGGAGAAACAATCAGCTATACAAAGACCAGTGATGTTATTAAGTGAGCATAACTTACCGAATTCGCCTCAATCATCATTCTGTATGTCTTTGAGCCCTGAAGAACACTCTAGTTCGACTTATGCTCAAGTATATTAAAAATTAAAAATAATATTGGAAAGAAGGATGTCTCCTATGCTTGTGATTATACATTCCAGTCTTCTAATTAGTGTGATATCATAACTATCACTATGATTACTCCTAACAGTAATAATAATAATAATGATAACAATTTCTTATCCAGATTCTCAACTTTATTAGAAATAAGTAAATTCTGTTAATTTTTGTTTTTCAAAACACTAAGGCTTCAACAATTAGTATCATTATTACCTTTGAAGTATTTGCTTTCAAGTATAGTATGATTCACTACTTGAGTTGTAAATGTCATAAAATAGGAATAACAGGTGCGCTTCTTTCTGTGAATTACTTATTCACAACAAATGTATATTACATCGAGCTTGTGATTACCGCTTCATCTCTCCTCTTTTGTTACTGTCTTCGCTAACAGTTGGCAATCGCCTTTTGGGTTTCTGCTTCTTTACAGACGCTCTATGCGTGGACTACATCGGTTTCACCCTTTCAGTATCTTGTATTTATTTATGCAGCATATGTAAAAATCTAATTTCGCCAAGCTTTTCCTCACTTATGCTTACCAATGCAATATCTCTACAATTATCTAATAGTTTTTATTTCCAATCATCTGTTCGCCGACGGACTAGTTAGTGTGTTTGTTTAAGGATGATTTTTACGATTTTGTCAACTTTGCACAGTACTGTATTTTGTCACAACATAAGTTGTTTTAACTGATTTAGCTGATTTTTGTAGGAAGGACACTCATCCCTTCCTGTTTCAAATACCCAGTCCTTGAATCATCAGTGTGAATATTAATGAACGAGTGAATGAATGAATGAATCGACTACGTTAAGGAAAACAATGGGATTATTCTCATAAAACACTATCTATCGCCTACCTTAACAGTGGTGCAAACACACACACAAATACACATAGTTTATGTTTATGACTATGTGCAACCAACATCCCTATAACAAAAATGCATTTTAACACTGTACATACGACAGAATAATAGTAATAATAATAAACGAAAAGTATGTTTGTATTAATGTAAAGAATATGTAAATTAGGTGGAACAGTTGTTTCACTTTTCTCTTTCCTTCTGCTTCATAAGGCATCGAAACGCAATTACCCTTTTGAATGCCAGATGTACTATAGTCAGAGACTGACTTCCTGTGTTATTGTTTGCTTCTTCGCTTCGCTTCTTTTCCCTCTCTCTCTCTCTCCCATTTCTTCATTCTGTCTGTAATGCATCCTCTGCCCCTATTCTCTCTCTCTATCTCTTAGTGTTGTGAAGTTTTCGTTTTATTTAGCTGTCTTCATTTTATCTGCTTAATTATTGTGTCTGCCTTTCTTGTGTATTAGGTAAGACGGAATTTCTCGCATTATCACATTTTTCATCTTTTGGTCGTTTTATTAGGGGCTTATTTCGGAATTACACTTTTGTACACAATTAATAGGTGAGGTTTTCCTTTTTATTAAATTGTACATTATTTCTCTCTGTGTCATTTAATTACATCTTTATTTTCCCATTCACTCGCCTCTTGTTGCAGTTGTTGTTGTTGTAATAATGCTTTACCTAAAAGTATGTATGTCTACAAAACGACAGATCAGGTGAAAGTTATTATCAACATTTATAATTTTTTGTACAGAAGATTTCAGTTTAATACATGATTTAATAAAAATATAACACCTTCCCTTCTACCCGGCTTCAATTCCGTTAACTAATTCTTTAAAGTTATTGTAAAAGTGCGTCAAGAAAATTGAAAAAAATGTGTTTATTATTGTTCCCTTGGATTTCGAGTGGAACATATGGCCTCGACAGTACATCTCCATTTTGTCATATTCTCTCGGGTCCTCTTTAGCTGGATCCTCTGTCTGTCTGGTTCCAGTATGGAACTTTGCACCGGTGTGCAGGAGTTTGAGGTACCCCACTTCACTCAGCACACAAAGCAAGCGAAGAAAGTAAAAGAAAATGCAAAATAGAGACAATAAACAGAGATATAAAGAAAAGGGATAGTAATATTGAAGAACAGTATAGTTTTATTGGCAGTTATAAGTCACAAGGAATGGGTGCATCTGCGCCACTGAGAAAGATTCCTAGCCATATTACCGACTGTCTCCAGGCTTCATTAGTTTTTACCATCCCGAGGACCCCAACCAGGAAGTCTACATCTCCCTACGTGGCTGGCTTAAACTAACTGTTGTGGATTTCATTGACTGATGCCATTTTTTGGTTTGACCACTACTGACTCTTCTCTAACCTGACTCTATATCAGTCAACATCACCCGTCGAGGAAGGCGATGGCTAGGTATGCATGGATCCACAGTTGCTAATAGCCTTTCATCTCTCTCAAGTACGATCTCTTACATGTCACCTGCGGGTCCAGGTACAACTTGTCATTCTACATTCGAATTGGCACGTGGTGTCACTCGATGGTCTCGTCAGTGTGTTGCTGATCCTTCTGTATTTACCTCAGTATAAATGTTAAGCGGTAGGTCCTTGGTTGATTTTTTACCAGAGTTCCCACTTGCTAATTCTTTCTATCCAGCCATGTGATCTTCGCCATGAAGCCAGTTAAAGCAGCCTGTAACAAATGATTCGCGTGATGCGCCAATTGTCTGAAACATTTTGAAGAACTGACTTATCACTGTTGTTGAAAATACAACTTTCGTTCTTTATGCTCAGTGAAGAAGGCTTTAAAATGATTTCAGAGTGATGAAAGCATGCCTCGCCTTTCCAGTTCTGGATGGCTTTTAAATCCTCACCCACGCCTAGGCCTGTCATTGAAACAATGCTGACTGGATAAGTGAAGGAAGTAACGGCTTTAAAATGTCTTCCATTGATGGTGACTGGTACCTGTTGTGTTTAGTTGGTTGGTAATCTTCATCACTTATGCCTCCTCTGCGTTCACCTGAAGTCCTATCTTTGCGACTTCTTCTGTCAACCTATTGAAATTTGTCTGTGGATCATAGAGTGTGGGAGACATTAGACATAAATCATCCGGGAAATCCAGGTCTTTTAGTGAATATATATCATCTCAAAAATGAAATGAATCTTATATTTAAGTAAATTCAGGTTATGTAAGCACATCTGAGAAGTAAGTAAATGAAAAGTGCTTGTTTGGTGAGATTTAGTCATTTTAGAAATGTCTCCTGTATGAGCGATTTCATAGAATGATAGATTGTTAAGAAAAACGATAAAATTCTGCTCGGCACATAGGCTTTTGAATTCCTTGAGTGGCTGAATGTCCAAAAACTACAAATATTAAGTGAATGTTCCTTACACCTCAAGTTAATCACTTGTTAATTCCATTTAAGTTTTCAGGTATAACCAATACATAAAGTGAAGACAGTCTATATGAGCATCAAATGTAAGGTATGTATCCTCTACAAGAACTAAATATTCTTTTTATTGATCGAAAAGAGTAGAGTGTACTGTGTAGCACGATGCTCAAACCTTAAAATAGGCATCTAGTTACCACATGGCACAAGAAGATTTCGCAACCGCGTCATAAACTATTATAAAATGACTACAGTTCTAATTTACCCCTCAATAAAGGAAATATGATACCATTTTCACATCTGTCAAATAGATATTCAAAGTGAATATTTAGAATAAATCATAGAATTTATGCATCTCAAAACGATATGCATATATGTTTTGAAAGCGCAAGTATTGCCTATCCGAAAGATTATGAGGGTAGCTTTAAAATCCTTTAAAAGCTTTACCTTTCTCTCAGGTCGAAAATCAAAGACTTAAGGAATTTACTATGGCGCATAATTGGTTTTTCCAAAGTAAACTATTTGAATTCTAAATTACCGACTTCAAGTAAGCGAAAAAATTAAAATATTTGAATTGTCATGTTTCAGTCTTCTGCTGGTGTAACAGAGCACGAAAATTCCTTTCTTTATAGATGGAAACGATCCTTCAACTTTCCGACATCATTTTGTATAATGAAATGTGTTACGAATTGGTAGAAGTTAGAATTCATGGGCCATTGAATCAGGTCCCAGTGGCTGAATAGTATACGAGCTTGCCTTGTAACCGGAAGGTCCTGGGTTCGAACCCTGGCGGTGGGTGCGTACTGCCGATGATTCCTGAGCTGAGATGAAACAGCTGTCCAGAACTCCCTGGTTTTCAACCGTTCACTAACTGATATCAATCCGTAGTCAAACTCGCACAAAGAAATCTGTTACTATAAGTGGTTGGAAACAATCATTAGGGGGCCGCGCACCTAGGTTTGGTGTTTGTTGGCATTCATCAACAAGGTGCATCTGCAGCATTGACGAAAATGATGTCCTCTTGAAGATTTGAAACCATCTCATTCAGTGTTACTGTCAGAGATGTGACCAAAGAGCTATGTAGAATCAAGCCTAACCTCCAATAGGACCGTAATAGATACATAAATCGGTCACTTCCGTGTGACTAATGCCATGTGTCTAGTCCTCACTGTAAGTACCGACTAACTGCCATTGTATTTAAGCCAAAATTATTCTATAGGTAAAAGGAGTCTGCATACGTTAGCGTTCATACATCGTGTTTTAATAATAATAATGACTTTATTCCAGGCAGTACATTTGATACAACATGAAATTTTCAGTATTTAATGCAATACTGCATCCAATTCTCTCTCTATACTCCATAGTAAGAAGACACTTACATTGTTAATGTCAACAAGATTATCAATGTAGAGTTAAAATTAAGTAGAAATAAAAAAAGGAATATAGTAATGATAGAAGGAATTAAAAGGACCGTTTATTTATTGTTTCGCACCAGCTTAGCAGTTTCATACTTAATACTTTCTTGTCACATAAAATGCCTGCCAAATAAGGTATCGTTGAGTTTTCATACTTAGTCGTTCCAGAATAAAGTCTTCTATAATTCCTTCTAGTTATACCTGATGAGATGCAAGCGGAGAATTGTGTACAAAGAGAATGCTTAGAGTCCCAGAATATTCGTCAATTTCTTACATGAGTTTCAAGTGTCTATCTACAAGAGTAATAACGAGTTGGTTTAGTGACATTTGTACTCACCTTACCGACAGCTTTTAATGCCCTCTGTAGGGCAAGAAATTCACACTTAAGTAGCCAGTTCATGTAAATCACCCTTGTGTCTGAAAATGAAATAATTAACCTGACATTTGAAGAGTTTCAGAATAAGACCATTTGTCGACAACTACTGACTAATTTCTGATAAAATGTTATTCATTTTGAAACAGTCTGATCGATATTTTTCATTTATTCATTTTTTTTATTATAGCTTGATTTCACACAGTATTTTGGTACAAGTGTGAAATTTTCAGCATGTGATATCGGTAGCCCAAATTTATCAGGTCGACCATGGATATCGGGTGTGCGTCGGCGAGGGATCGAACCTGGGACCATATGCATGGTCGGCGTGAGTCCTAACCGCTGTGCCACCGACCAGGATGGGAACAGTCAGATTATCGACGTACTTAATGATATTGGCCTTATCAGAATGAGTCAAGTAAGGTGAGGATAAAGAACAGTATATTAAGTGACACCGGAGACAGTAAGTAAGGCAGTGGGAAACTTCCCTCTATATACACACTTAACTGCTTTATATAGGAAAATTAAGAATGCGACCATCTTTTGATCTAGCACTCTGCTTGTGTCACAGCAAGCTTGTTTAACAAGAGGCCTAGATCCAGAGTCAAAGGCAAATGTGTAATCAATGAAGGCACACTGAACATATTTAGCACCTCTATCTACACTGGAGACAATATGATGATATTAGATGACAGTGACATCTAAAATACATCTGTCATACTTGTGAAGCAATTTGTTTAAGGTCGTTAAAAGCCTTCAATGAAGGTTCAAGGTCCAGTAAAGAAGCAGTTTTTCCACTTATTTTTAAAAACGTTAATAGGTTTAAAGTTAATGCCTGATCTACTTGACGACTGAAGCATCAGAACAATCTCACATAAACAACTCATTCTTCAATGAGTTAGGCAACATCGAATAGTTAAACGCTAAGATGGGAAAAAAGTAGTCAACACCTAACACACTTTCAAAGTTTTCTTTGCCTGTATAATAAGAGATTGTTTACTTTATGTGTGTGTATGTGTATATGAGCCTACTGAGCAACTTATTTTCATCTTTCCACAGATTGGAGCACAAAACAAAACATGTTCACTGTAAAAGTATTAATTAGGGGAGAAGAAACGAAATATCTCATGCATCGACAACAACAGAAAATAATAGATAATGCCAAAGGCAATATACGTACTCATAAATGTGCATAAAATGAAATATTTTTATTATTATTATTACTATTTGAAATAATTTTAGTTGAAAATATCAAATATACATGATGTTCAGAGACTATTCATTTGCTTAATTTTATTCGAGTTTTATTTGCATAATTTTATGAAATTTTATAACCATCTTTGTAGCCGAATAGATGAATTTATAAGCAGCCAAGTGGTTTATTTCTCACTGAAAGAACCAACTTCAGTTGTCCCCTCCCACCACCCCGCCGACCGCCGAATTCATCATTAACATGGTGTTATAATCAACGTGTAGGGTATGTAACAAAATGTTTAGATGAATGAATTTAATTAATTTTGGTTGGGGGAGGGGAGTGTTTGATGAAACTTTAGGTAAGTAAATAAAGGAGTGAATATGCATAAAGCTCCTTTTATATATATACATATAAGT